ATAAAATGTAACACCATGGTAAGATTGCAATTATTTTAAAATCACACGGTAAACTTAAAATTACCCCATAAAAAAGACCATTCACAGTCTCGACATTATGAATGGTTTAATTTCCATTCACCCTTGTCAGGCTTGCATCGGCCCAATTCTCTCTACTCCACGTAATGTTGGCCCATTGAACCATCCTATGGTCCAAAACCATTTAAAACCAAAGCTATCGGATGCGCATCGTTCCAACTTACCTTAAACCATTCTCGGCTTCTCGCAGCGAAAAGAGGTAAACTCTCCCCCTCTCTCTCTCTCTCTCTCTCACACACACACACACACACACTCTGCCGAAGGCGAAGGTCATGTAGCGGCGCCGGTGACAAGCCCTGTACGGCCGTCAAAGCACACGACCTCTCTCTCCGCCGTCCGATATCCGGCAAATCCGTATCCTTTCGCCGAAGACAAGGACGACGTTGTGGGCAACGACCTAGGCTAATTTATTTTTTATTTTTTGTTGCTAAATTCTTGTTATTTTTTCAGAAAAAACTAGATCTGAAATGAACGGAGATTCCTCTTTTTTTTTTTTCTTCTCTTATTTGTTATTTTACGTGTTTTAATTGGATCACCAAAATCTTCATATGTCCTTGTCAAGCTTATTTAAACATGATGAATGATGAATAAGCACCTTTCAACACTTTTGGTTTTGCTTTTAGTTTATTTATTTGTTGTTGGCTACAGAATTAATGGAAGTGCCTAATTATGCTTTCCGGTTTTGTACAGGAATCCAGCACCATGACAAGGTAGTAGATGTATTGTGAGTAATTCTTGTGCAAAAAGATAAAAGCTAAACTTCATTCCTGACATATAGTATGATAATTCATGAGTTGATTGTTCTCCTTTGCATGACAACTAATATCTTGTTGATTTTGTGCGATATTTGGTGTAGGGATATAGATATTTTGGGTTTGGTAACTACTCGTGCCTCTATCTTTCTGCGAAGTAAGATTGTTAATGTTAAGTGTGTGTGTGTGTGTTTGCACGTTGTTAAATTACTCTACTCATTGTGATCTACTCTTTAGGAAACTTGGGTTTGTGCGTATGTGTGCCTTGGACTTCGTATGCCTGCTATTCGTACCTGTGAGTGATAACCTTTTTTTCCAACCTCACCACCTCTTAGTCCCTTCTGTTCGACTTACTCTCTTACCTTTGGTATTCTTTTCTTTTCCCTTCTCTTTTTCATTGACTAATTTGATCTATTTCCTTGGATTACATTATTAACTGCAGCGTGGATTCTGATGGTCATTGGTATGTAATCTTATATCCGCTCTCATGTTAGTTATTACATTATCATTACACTCTAAGATTTTGAAGTAAGAGTTCTCCCATTGCAGGAAACAAATTGCTGAAGAACGCCGATTTCAGATGTGAGTATGCGTGTATTTTTTTTCTTGTAATAAAATAATGTGAAATATTCGATTTTTTCTCTTGTTCTTTATCTCTATCCCATAGGTACAAAGGCAATAGTATATTTTCTTCTGGATTCATTGATCTTATTCCCTCCAAATTCTTTCTTTATACCTCCCAAGAGAAATTTTTTCATTTCAATGTGAGCTAATTTTGCAGACATGTATTATCATTTTGCCTTTTGTTTCCTTTTCATGACGGTTACCAAACATTTTTATGCGATATTGTGTTGGTCTTATTGACACTTTTTCAATAGAATTTCAAAGTTATCATGTTGTTTGTTGTTATTGCAGCGAGGACTCCCTAAAAAGCCTGGATCGCGCGAGGAAGAAAAGGTTCGAGTAAATGATTTATTTCCTCTTGGGCATTCATTCTTGTTAGGTTGACGACTAATGACGAGTGTGCTTTTAGTTTTTTTGTCACTGAAAGTTTGTTGATAAACTATTGGCAGGGAGAAAATGGAGCGTTCTATTATGAGGTATGCATTAATTCCTAATTAATCTTACACCACAAATTTATGAGCCCGTTTGGGTAAATCTCATAAATTTCATAAATACAGGGAGGCAAACAGTTAAACTTTTTATGTCAGCAAGATTTGAGATCCCTTATAATTATATTGACAAAAAAGATATATACTGACTTGAGCCCAGACTGGAGTAAAACGTAAACCTTATGTGTAGTGGGCTGACTATTTTTTGTGAATTACTGTTGTATTATATTGAACTGTATTTTATGTAGAGATATAGAAGGATTATGAGGGAGATGGAACAGATGGAAGGGAAAAAGAATTGGGGAAGAAAATGATTCGCTTTGCTTAATGTTTACATCACGTTGTTGCTCCCTTTTCAACTAACTGACTGTTGGCTGTACCATTAAAACAACCAACACTAATAAACTCATAAGTATAAAAATACTCAAACATCCACTAAGATAATAACATGTCTTGGTCACCGGGAATTTTCCTTCTCACAATTGAATAGTCCTTTTGTCCCAATTCCGATTTCAGAAACGCTAATGTTGCCGATTTAGATTGAGTTCACCGCACCTTAGGGATAAGATGGCGACGATGAAGCACCCCGAGGGGTGAGGGCGAGGACTTGAAATCCGAATGTGGGGGTAAATAGTCAAATCTGCGAGTTTGGAAATTTCTGAATTTCAGGGTAAACGGGACAACATTATCTTTGAGGAAGGAACAATTAAGGACTGTAATTTTCAAGAGCACTAGAATTTCACGATTTGTAGTGTTTGGACAGGGCTGCTGCTTTGTTAATCGAAAAGTGAAGGGTAGTGTGATAATTTGAAGTTTTAATTGCATTTGGGAACTGGGAAGTACTAGGGTATTTCTTATCTTAAATAATGGAGTATATATTTATATTATTGTGTTTAAATATAGTATAGGTCGGTTTGGTTATTTCAGAAACCAACCATAACAGGCTGAAATAACCGAGTAAGGTCTTAATAAAAAACTGAAAACCAAATTATTATTGTAAAACCAAACAAAATTCATCATTTCTGCAGGTTATTTTGGTTTGAATCGAAGTTTGAACACCCCTAGTTGTAATGTCCTGTGAGTAGAACTGTGGTTTGTTATAATTACTATGTGAGTTTGGACATGGACACATGAGATGTTTTCTGTGCAACTCAGGTTAGAAGCAGAAGTCACAAGTGAAAATGCGATGAGCAGCGGAAATATTGGAGTCTGAAGCTGGTTCTAATTATTGTAGTACTTGGCAGTCTGAAGTTGGTTCTAATTATTGTAGTACTTGGCAGAACATATGCTTTTGTGGACATGGGGTGTGAAAATGTGTTGAACTAGCATCTCTCTTCTTGTTTGGTCTTATGCGGTGGTATAACTATTTAGTCTCTCTTGTGGCATTCACCTAATTCTTTGGATTCTTGTATTTTCTGGTTTTATGTCTATGTTGGCCTTTATTATTATATTTAGAGACTTTTATTTTTTGTTATTGTTTCTTTGAATAATTGTATTTTCTGTGGTATTTGCATCGAAGTTTTATAGTAAAATACTGGGCAAAGTGTTAGAGCATCTCCGATGGGGGAAAAAAATAATGTCAGTGTCATCATTGAAGACAATGTCTTCATAATTTTATCTCCAATGGACTCAGTCGTTGTTGAATTTTTTGTGATGTGGCATGACTACTGTGAAGTGCACTGTTTAAAGGCACAGTGTATTCGACAGGAAACGTGGGTATTTATCTTATTTACATGATACACAGCTAAAAATAGCATTGAATGTAATTATCTTTTTTATATTTTAAAAATTAAACTACGTGTCAAAATTTGTACTTACTTGATACACAGAAATAACACGATTTTTATACTTTAAAAATTAAACCATTTTCTATTTACTTGATACAAAAAAATAACACAATTTTTATATTTCAAAAATTAAACCATCTTGTATTTACTCGATACATGTACATAAGAATAACATTGAATGTAATTAAGTAAAACGGGCCTTCACCTTGTTTCCCTCCGAGCGGATGAAGCATGCTCGTTATTCCCGTCAAAGGCAAACTCCTTGGGTGTCGGCTGCCGGCCCCCTGTGCCGCCATCTCGCCTCCCCATAATAGCTTCCCGGAAAGAGAGTCGGGGTTGGCCGTGTAGGTGCTCGATGGCGGTATCCCCTTCGGAGATTGTCCGGTAAAATGTGCCGTGGACGTCGTGTTTGGGTCCGCAACCACAACACCATCTTCTCGTACATACAAGACGTCCGTTTCTGGATTTCCGGCCGCAAACAAGGCTGCTCCGGCAAGATGGTTGGTCGGAGAAGGCGAGGTAGGCCGTGGTCCAAAAATTCTGGCCGTGATAGTCGATTCCGAGGGCATCCCAGGTGAAGGCCGGCCGGCTGGGGTTTTCCGGTTGCCGTGACGGTGCCGGCGCCGGTGAAGGGCACAAGAGCAGCGGCGGATTGATGGTTTATGGTGGCTAGGTGCTGATTGAGAGTGACGGGTTTTGGGTGCTGTTGGGGGTTGACGGGTTTTGGAATAACGGCCTGGTTTTGGAGTGATGGATGTGAGGCGGTATTGGGCTGCATAATTTGGAAGGTGGGCTGGGATGCGTGTTGGGCCTTGTGGGCTGAGGGTGGTTTAGATGTGTGTGTGTTGATGTGGGTTGAGGGATTGTTGGTTGATTTTGGCCCAAAAGGAGGCAGACCAGTGTAACAGGCGGATTTGGGCCTGGTAATGGGCCCAGATATGGTGAGATCTTGCTTTGCCACGTGAGGGGACGGGATTGGGGCCACATCTTCGAGCAGCTTTGAGGGTTTTGAATTTCTGCAGCGCCGTCTTGAAAGATCTCTCTCTCTCTTTGCAGCGCCATATAGGGCACACCGCTTTGAAAAGTTCAAAGGCAAATGGATAAGGCAGCAATCGATCATTCGTCCCAAACTTGAAAGAGGTATCGCGCTCTCTCTCTCTCTCTCTCTCTCTCTCACACACACACACACACACACGGAGGATCCCCACCGCCGTCTCTCCTCCTTCGAACCACCGCGCGCCTTTCCCTCTTTGAGGTTTTCTGTTTATCGGCTGGGGAAGGCGAAGATCGGGGAAGCGAGTAAGCCGGCGGAAAGCCTTGTACGGCCGTCACGTCACACGATCTCAGCCTCTCCAGTAAATCTGTCAATGAGGACGTCGTGTGACGCGGCCGACGCAAATCGAAACCAAAATATACATTTTTTTTTTAATGTTTTAATGTTTTTTGTGATCTCAAACTACGTATTTCTCGCGAAAGTTTGTTGCTTGCGTTTAAAATGGATAGGTTTTCTTTCTCCTGTTTTATGTGTTCTAATGGATCGTTAATTTTCAGACAGGCTATTAAAGCTTATTCCCATACGTTTTTAACATTTTCCTGTATTTTCAGGTTTCTGTTGGCCTTTATTGCTTGCTATGTGGCGTACAATAAGGTATACATTGTTATTTTGGGCAATGTTGTACACTTGGTTGTTGTTGTTGTTGTTCTTGTTGTTGTATTTGTTGGTGGTGGTGGATATTTATTTATTCATTTATTGTGTTGTGTTTTACAATTCAGTCTGGCTGCACCTGCACGGGGGCCGTGGGCAGCAACTTCCCCAACACCTTCACTTGAGTATTGGTCTAAATTTAGGTAATAGTTCTGTTATTCCTGTCTCGTACTAAATTTTATCTATATAAGTTGACCATTTCTTATGCATATAGGGCATTTCGAGAAACTGAAAGAGGGATTACCATTGAATCTGTAGCTAAGAATTTACTGGGATCGGTCTCCCTCTGGGGTTTATGTCGGTTGTACGTATCTGCTTGCTATGCCTAACTAAATATACGTTGTGGCTATCTTTTTATACAAGCTGTGAACTGACTGTAAAGTGTCTCCTCTGTCTCTCCCTCTTTGGTTCTGATATGACAGGATTGATTACGGTGACGAGTAAGTATCTCATTGCTTACCCAAGTTATATATGCTGTTCTTCTGATACGTGTTGCATACGGTTTGAAGTTGAACTATATGTCATACCCGGTTATTTCCACAACGCTTCGGTACTTCTTTCTTTCAGAAGTGGAAATTTTGAAACAAACTCAATAAGTGGAAATACACAAGTACCCTACATACACAAAACCAAAACAATAATATGTTTAATGTGTTACTACTTTAAGAATGTTGACAAAATAATCAAATAATAATTCTCAAATGTGCATAGCTAGCAGAATGCATTCCACCGGTTCTAGATCTCATTTTGACCTCCTTTTACATCAAACTTTTAGAAAATAGTGCTTAATCGATTTTTTTATATTGATCTCTTGTGAATAATTAGATGTTCGCCTTATTGGTATCCTTTACAAACTCTCGTTGCAGCAAAGCTCATACACAACTGATGGGGATCTATGCTGAAATCGAGAGTGAATGGTTTGACTTAAGATTCTTTATGTTTGGCTCATAATGTTTTTCCAAGTTCTTGGTTGATTATAGAATCTACATGACATATAGTGCACTTATTTTGTGGTCTCTATTGGACTCAAATCATTTATGGTCTACATTGATCATTTATGTTGGATTTAATGATTGGGTTAGGAATCATGTTTGGATGCCTAGTAATCCTTTCCGAACCTTGTACACTTATCTTGAGCTTTGCTAAATTAATTGTCCAACAACATGCAAAATAAATTGAATTGTTCCGGAGGTGTGTAGTAAGTAGGTTTACTGGAAAAATTCACGAGCATGTGTTAAGTTTTGGAGTTATTTGCACTATAGTTTTGCTCGAAATGTTACTGTATCACTTTTAAAAGCAAATGCTATTGAGTATTGTCAAATCCTTTATTTATTCAAAGTTCTAAACAATGAAAGATGTTAATTTGGAATGGGTGAAAATTCAGTTACTTGTTTTCCTCTCATGCTACATCATATTGTTAAAAATGAGATGTTCATGGCTGCAATCCATTTTGTACTCAAAATGCACGATACCCGTTCTTCGCTCTACTCTGACTCTCTATTTTATTCAACTTTGTACTGTTTGAAAACCATAAACAGATTGCTTTTATGACTCACTTTTGTCTGTGATCAATCATTGACAGGAAGCGTTACCACAAACTCAGGGAACGGTTGAAAGAACTAAGGTCTGTACTCCATGAAGAGTCTAGTTTTTGTTTCTTTAGTTTTGGTGTTTATTTTGAGTGAAACAAATCCTCGAATTTTAGATGCTACCTCTGGCAAAATCCATCCAATTTAGGATTCGTGAACTGTGTTGATGCTGTATGTGTGTGAATTTTTGTGGCAAACATTAGGTTTTGGTACCCTAGCTTTTGACATAAGATGTTTTATATGCAACTTTACTCAGGTCACAAGCACAGAAGGCAAAGAGCGGGACATAGGAGACTGTAGCAATGTGATTGTGGAGGGAGCACTATCTTTTTGGCAATTTCGGCTTTAAAACTGACCTATGACCTGTTGCTTTTGGTGTAAAACTAAACTATGACCTGTTGCTTTGTGTCATCTCCTGTGCTGCTATGAAGTTCCGTTCTGGAAAAAGACTTTCTTGGGGAGAAAAAGTCTCCCATTTTCATTCAGCTGCTCTCTCCTCTCCACTTCACTTCGCTTCGCCAAATTGTTAGTTTGCATATGCTGCTATGGATAATTTATCAGTTTGCATTGGTTTAATGTTGGCTCAGTTGGTTGTCCATCATTTGAGGCCTTTTTTCAGGAAGACTTGAGTGGCCATTGAATGGATTATACATTTGTTTTTTCTTTTAGCATTTATCATTGAAATTGTCAAGTTGGAATGAAATAATATATATACATACTAGGGTAAACATGTGCACGGCCAGACCCACCATTATGCTTTATTTTAATAAGACATGTTCACTACATGAAACAATGTGTTTGACGATGCTTATTTTTTTATTTAATGGCATTTATTAGCGTCACAAAAACTATTAAAAGTGTCAGTGAGAAGCGTTAAATTTGATGTCATGAAATTATCTGCGATATAAGACTTTAGCATAGGTAATTTTTCATACGTGATGCTTTTATAAATGTGTCACTTTTGTAGAATTTGTTGGGCGAGCCGTATATGATGTTTTTTTTACATGCGTTACTTTTGTAGAATTTGTGAGGCGAGCTATTTGCGTCTGCAATAATCATGCTCCACGCTTTTTTTAGTGTGTTTATCATTATAAATTTTGTCGTACGTTGTAAATTTTAATATATGACACTTTATTATGTGTCGTTATAACGAGTTTTGATGACACAAAATTTATGTGGTGATAAATTTCAATGCGCAACGCTTTTTCTATAGTGTCGTGATTATTATCTATTTAGCAACACTATTTTGTAACGATTTCATTTGGGATGACAATGGACCAGATAGTTATGAACCCGGACCTGGTCCGAACACCTGACTGACGGACCGCCCTGGCATGTGATCTGCGACGGGTTTAGTAGGTCGAGCCCGCCGATTTGGCCCGTTTCGAAGTCGACCGATCCACCCTGCCTTGACCTGCCCCAACTTTATTATCTTTTTTTATTTACCCGTTGAACCATACATTTGTAGAATATAAATTGGAGCAAATATTAAAAGTCTTATATGATAATATTCCAACAATCCAACAAACACACCAATAATCTTACAATTCAAAATACAAATATTCATACATGTCAAATAATGAGAACTGAAATAATATTTTAGCAACTCAACAAACATGCCAATAGACTTCCCATTTCTTGCTCTCTTTGAAAGTAACACGATGATGTCTATTTTCTTTTTTTTTGGGTACAAAAGAGGGTGATGTCTATTTGAGTACTTCTTTCAACGTCATAGCATCTCTTATATAATAAGCCAAAGAAAAATACAATTACCGTCCCTCTCTGGTTTCCATACCCAAAAATTATGAGAATTGACCCATTCCTGTGTTGACGGACGTTTCCGGTCAACGGTTAAAAAGTCAAGTAATAGAAAGAATAATGAGAAAAAGACGAAGAAATACGGTTTAATCACGGTTTTATTAACGGGTCACGAGGTCGGCCTCTCGTACGAGGTCGGCACTTGTGATATACTTATATTGCTTACAAGAGTTTCTTACAAGTCTTTTAGAGAGAGAAAATGTGAGCTCGAGTAGTTGGGTTTCAACAACCCAAAATAAATGAAGTGGGTTGCTATTTATAGTAGCTTTTAATATCGCACTGTTCGGGTACTGTTCAACGATCTTGTCGTACAGTAGTTCAATGGGACAAGCCGGCGCTTCCCTGACTGATTGGGAGTGATTTCCGGATTCTCCAATCATTGCCTGACATACATTTAATGCTAGCGTGGGCTGCATTAAATGTGGACACGTTCTGGCTGAGCTGGACGTCCCATCGGCAATCATTCGTAGACAAGTGGCATTATTTTATTGTATCCGGCGTCGTACTTTCATCAGGAGCCGCCCTTGTTAGGTTTCGAACGGGGTGCCGAACTCGTATCTTGATGAGTGTGGCGCCGAGCTCGGGACCGAGTCCCCTCATCGTTCCCGACAGCTCTGATACTTTTCAAGATCGGCACCCATGATCGGTTTCAAGTGCCGACTTCTTCGGTTCGGCCGGCCATCACTCGGTTCTTAATTCGTCGGACCGGTACTCATATTGGGGCCGGGCTCGGGTATCAACATACAGGCCCCCGAGCTTGGGTGAGGTCCATTGGGCCTCTCCTGAGGTCGTCTTTGATCGATCAGATCCGAGCTGGACCCAACAAATCTGTGTTAACCTCTCAAATCCGTGTTCGTCCCCTTCAAGGTCGGCATCTCCACCGCACTTGCAATCGTGGGGGCGCAAAGGTTGGCAGTATGGAACGTGGGGCGTAACGGTCGAAGACCGCGGACGTGTGTTAACTGCATTCACACTGTGGGGGGACACGTGGTGGATTAAGGGCCAAGCATTTCGAACGGACGTAACGGTTGACAAAAGGGGGGTGACGGTTATCTTGTTCAACACTTCAGTTACTTAAGGAACCGTTTCGAATTTCGAATTTCAAAAGGCCCGTCCACGTGTCCACTTCCGATTGGTTTGGGAATCTTATATATATCTCTTTTTCAGAATTTCTCTTCACTTTTCCCAAGAACTTCTGAAGCTTCTCTCTTTTCGGATCTGTCGAGCTTTGCGATTTTCGAGCACATCCCAAGAATTTTCCGGCGACGATTTCCGGCCATCCTTCGGTAATTCCTACCTTCCTCTCTTATTTTTCTTTCCTTGCCTTTTTCGATTGGGATGTCTTCTTCTCCGAGATCTGCGGGCGACGGCGGCAACTTCGCCGGTGAGGGTGGCGATTCCTTCCGGCAGGCGGACGTTATTCTTACCGCCGTCCCTATTTCTGTGATTCGGCCGGATCCTTCGGCGGTCGAAATCGCCTCCGGTGGCGGAGGTGCCGAAGCCAGCCCTCCTTTGTCACCGCTGCGCAAGGGGAACGATGCCGACCTTGACCCTTTGGCGGCAGCTGACGACGACGATGTCGACCCCGATTTTCTGGACACCGACTCCGATGTCGATCCCGATCTGGTTGATGAGACCCTTCGAGGGGAAACCGGCGGTCGGGAGCGTGTCCCCATGGGGGACGCGTCGTTCGACGCCGCTCTCGAGGAGGTGACCGCCGTTCCTCCGGGGTTCTGGCGCCGACCTGAACGGATCCGAGCAACATCGAGTCAGGCGACGGCCTGGAACACGGCGTCGATCCTGGATGACGCCGATCTGGCTCAGCTGAGGGGAAAGTTCAACTTCGGCCCCGGCGTTCGGCTGTTCGCACCCTATCCCGGAGAGAGGATTCATTGCCCGCCGCCGGGATGTATAGGGGTCTACCGTCACAGCATCCACTTAGGCCTTCGGTTTCCCCTGCCCGGTGCTCTCAACGATATTTTGAGCGGACTGGAGGTCGGCATCAGTCAATATGTGCCGACAGTGTTTGCCCGCCTGATGAGTTTGATCGTCATGTACCGTCGTGAGGGTTGGCCGACCCCACCGACGACGAGGTGAGGTCCTTGTTCGCTTTCAAACGCGCCGGTGAGACCGGCAACTACTACAGCTCGGTGCTGCCCGGCATCGACAAGACGTTGGTGGCCAAGTTGCCCGAGACCCTGCATGGCTACATGCCGCACTGGTTTTGGGTCGGCGGCGAGTGGAGGACCCCGGACGCTATTCGGCACCCACCTACTCATTTCATTTCTCATACTCGTAAGTTTTTGTTTTCACATCCGTCACCAACTGATTTTCTTTCCTTTGTGCTAACAGGTCATACTTTGCGTTTTCAGTCCATACTCACAGCTCGGCACTCAGTCCACGTTTGGCCGAGCGACTCAGCACCTTGTTGGCGCGAAACGAAGAGGACCGCCGCTATTCCAGCCTCGTCAAAGAAGAGACCCTCCTCAATCACAACCTCAGCCCGGAGCTCGTCGATAAATCTTTCGAACCAGGTAGCTTCTTAACCCGGTTCGGCACTTTGTTGGTCACTTGAGTCTTCGATGCCTGCCCGGTACTAACCGCGCTCTTTACCTTTTTTGCAGTTTACTACCCTCTTCTTAGGCTCAAGGGATTCGAGTCTGTGAAGGCTGCGAACAAACACCGCCGCAAGCATCCAAATCCGCTCAAGACGAGAACAAAAGCTGCTATGTCTGGCCGTCTGAATCTTGCCAAGAAGAGGGCGGCGCTCAACAAGGAGCCGGCCCCGAAGGCTACCGATGTGTCGACCCCTGCGGAGCCGAGCGCCGTCCCTGTTGTCCCCCAGGCCCCTCGCGCTCCGGCACCGGAACCACGCATGACAAGGCGACGGGCTCGCGAGGCACCGGGCACGACCGGCGGCGAGGCCCCGGGTGCGGGCGGCGAGGGCCCGGCTGCGGTGAAGAAAAAGAAAGGCGCCGAGGCCGAAAGCTCGGGCCTCGCCCAGGAGAAGGACGCGCACATCCATCAGGAGGGGGCGAGCACCTTCGTCCCTATTGATGCCGAGCGGAGGGCTCGTTTCGCTAAGTCCCTGCCCGGCTTTCCGGATGAATGGTTCTTGGACCTCCGCTCGGCCGAGGGGGTGGTTGTCCCCAACCAGTTCGGGGTTCCGGAGGAGATGATCAGGGCGGCTCGGCTCCCGTTGGTCGCTTGGACCCCGACTGCTCAGGCCGCCGCCACCCAGCTCTCCACCCCGTCGCTCATTCACCATGCGGCGGGGACCATCTCCCGCGCCTTGGTCGAGCTCGTCCAGGCCGCCGATCGGTCCCAGAGGGCCCTGGCCGACCACCGCAACTGGAGGCCGACCACGAGCTCTGCCAGGGGAAGATTGCCTCCCTGAAGACAAAGGCAAAGCGGGCCTCCGAGCTGGAGAACCGCTTGGTGTTGGCTGAGGCCGAGGCGGCGAAGGCCAAGGAGAAAGAGTTGGAGGCTGCTCGGCCGCAGGCCAGGATGGCCGAGGAGCTGAGGAAGGAGAGGGCGGCCTGGGCGGCCCGAGAGTTTGAGCTTGGGGAGCAGCATGCTAAGGCCATGACTGAGGAGTTTGATCGGCATGTGGCCGAGCTCGACAAGCTCCAGGCCCACGTCATCAGCCTTCAGAAGCAGCTTGAAGCGCACACTGCCGAGCTGGAGAAGCATGTTATCCAAGAAGCTCCAGAGGACGGCCGCCCCCACATTTCGCTCCGTCTGCCGACTTACCCGGAGGTTCAGAAAATATTTGGCAAGGATATCATGGCTGACATGGACTCCGGGGTCGGCTACAATCTCTATTGGCTCTTCCAGCGGCTCGACGCCGGTCTGTTGACCTTGGAGGACTTCCGCGAAATTATGCGAGCGAAGATCTCCAAGCACGGACTGGATGCCGAGTTCGAGGGACTCGTCTGCGAGGTGGACGAGGAAGAGGCGGCTCTGGTGCGCCGGCAGAGGGGATGGACGGAGGACGAGATCGTCGGTTTCGCCAACTTCGGCGCGACGCCTCCCGACGAGATGCGCCTGAAGCCGGGCGAGGCCCTCTCCGACTATATGCC